TCTATCATTAAGATCTTACTTTAAAAAATCAGATTTTTCCTGCAGTCTGGGCAGGACTGGTAAAACTCCAGTGGCCTTTTAAATGTGCTGTGTTGGGGAGGTCACCAGCTTGATTTGGATAAGGATTAAAAAATGTTTTCACTTTTCACTGATTCTCTTCCAAATATGGATTGTTGCTTATTTCACGTTGCTTCTTTTTCTTGCGCAGCATCTGATTTTACTAGGTCAGAAATACAAACTGCACTTGTTTTATTTTATGTTGAAAAACAACTATAAGTTGTAATCTGAACACTTTTTGGAGTCAAACATGGCAACCAAAAGCAAAAATGACGATAACTCGGCCAAAACTGCAGATTTTGAGCAAAGATTTGGTGGGTTGCAAGCTGAGAGTCATTCACATCACACCCTCCGAGTATAGTTATTTTTATGTACACTCCTTGAATTCTTGGACTTTAATTCATCTATGTCATTTTACCTTTGGACTATCAGAAGACATAAGAATCATCTGGGGTGAGTCATCACACTTGAGAACCTGGGAGTGGTTTAAACATGCTGACGGTCTATGTTGGTTCTGAGAAACATCTAACTTTTCAAAAGTTTGTTGAAATTTGAACAATTTCGTCCTTTTGGTGGTAATGCCATGGCACGGTTATGTTAATGTCAAAAAAAGACAATTAGAGGAGTGTTGCTTTGTAGAGTCCTCAAAGGTCCTTGTCTGGGGGAAAATGACAGATTTCACCTCTGCAGTCAGGGGGAGGTTGAAGGTTACAGTGAGGGAAGGCTGAATCAACATTTGGCGTTTCTTTCTGACCTTTCTTTCTTTTATCTCCCCTTCCTCATGTCCTGAAAGACAATATATTTATGAATTATTTATCCACGTTTGAAAATGTTAAACTTGTGACGTCCTTGTCCTGCGTCTTATCTCCAAGGGCATCGTAAAAAGCTGTAGAGAAAAAAATCACTAAAGTGTTGGAAAGTATGATCATAAAATAGCCTTCAACAGCAGTTAAATTACACCGGTTTGACAACAGTTATGCTTCGTGTTGGAGAGAAAAGGCATCTATAGAGGAATCATCAGCATTATGGCTTTTCTCATCACATTAATAAGCTGGTGGCGAAGAAACATTAACGGACGCGAACGACATTTAGTATATTTATAAGATGAGAAGATCAATTAGTGATTGATGCTAAATAATTCTCCTTTTCATCTATGCAGTTATAAAACAGGGTTTCATCTTATATCAGAGGAGTTTGTGAGTTTTTTTAGATCCAAATGGTGTAAAATTAAAGTAACACCTACAGTTTCCTGCTCTACCACCCTATTGGTTGAAAGTGGAGTTACAAATGCGTGCAGCCCGCTGTAGCTAGCGCTAACAATGAGCTAACACTTACATATGAACTAAAAAACATGAGAACTAAAACAATGCTGTTTGACAAAAATATTATAACTTACAAGTCCAGTACCAACAAAGCCAGGTCATCATCAGTTTGTGATTTTGTAGCCTCTTCGTCAATATTCACTCTGGTTTAGCTCTTTGCTTTGCCTCCAAAGACATTACTCTCTTACTTTTACTTCCAGGCTCTGCCATGATGCCAAGAAGCAATCTTCTTCTTCTTCTTCTTGTTCTTTCTATTGACGATCGGTGAACTTAGAATGCTAACCACTAGCATAACAGCTAACAGTCATAAAGCTTGTAAAGAGGTCCCTCTATAGGACACCTACTCGCTCCACAAAACTGACAAGAGCGGTTTTTAGTCAGCAGAGAGCTGCAGAGTGGTATGAATCACTGGTCAAGTTTCTAACCCAACAATCAATGAGATCAATGTTACAGCTCTAGCTTAAAGTTTAAAAAGCTAGTTAGTGTTACTTTAAATCTTCTACAGTCAGTTTTAAATGAGCACTACACCATTTCAGCTGAACATTGAAACAATGAGTTCATGATGGTGCTCTTAGCTCTGAAATGTAGCCGTCTTAGCTCCGATGCGTCGCTGCTTAACTGATCCTTGCTCAGTAGACAGTTATTGCCACACTTTTGCTGCCTGATGAGTTGTCCAGCGTCATCATGAAAGACTTACTGCACTGATTCATACAGACACAGCGCTCGGCATGTGGAGATTTATTTGTCCCTGTGCTGATTTATGTCTGCGTCTCACGTTTGCTAAATGGCAGCGAGAGTGAAAAATATGTTCCCAATGTGGAGAAAAGGAATCGCCGCTGTCGCTGATAATGATTCTGAACAAGCATGGAGCAATAAGCGTTATGGAAGGAAGGAGACAACAGCACATTAACCCCCTGATAGTAAACATCTCTTTATTATTTTTTTATTATCTTGATTATTTCTTCACAAAATGATTGTGCACATTACCAAGCTTCTTTTTTTTATCCCGTCTTCAAGCACCCGTTCTAGCGTTGGGCACGCTGCAGCGTTTTTCCCTACGTTTCTTGTCATTTGTTTGCTAAAAGTATTTGTTTTCAAGATGAATTGCTGCGTTGGCAGGCGAGATGACAGCCTACACGAAGATGATTTTGAATTGATTTCTGAAATGTTGCAGAACGGACTAGTTGATGTGTACCACGAGACATGAATAATAAAAATTCTATTAAAAAGCTCTTGAATGGCTGACACTGGAATATTATTTGTGATGATTAATTTTCTTCAGTCATTATAAAAGGGAGTTGGCATCAGATTGCCTCTGACAAAATTGCTTTTCACTCCCTGGTGAATACCCTGGGTGTGCTTTTGGAGAGCACAAAACCATATTTTTCGGTGCAACATTATGTCAAGATAGGCCCTGGAAAAGACACGTGGCCATGTATCACCTTATTAGCACCATAAAAATCTCTGCTGCTCTAACTGCTTGGTTACTCTGCACCCATTTCACAATAAGTGCCTTTTTTTCTGTTTGTGAAAGCAAAATTGCCAAAGTAATTATGGGATTATAAAATAACCACTAAGTGACTGTCAGTGGTAGTTTTTCTTCCTCATAATGAACTTGATTAACTGCGTTTTAAAGGCGTTTTAGGCTGACAGTTTGTTGCTTCAAAGCTGTCGATACTTCTAAAGTAAATGATTCTACAGCAGCTGCTGTTGTCCAACTAATTAATTTTGTTCTGAATGAGTTCGTTATGCTTTTTCTGAGCACAACACTTTGCGTTTCTAATTATTTGTTATTTTCTGCACAACGGCAAACTGACTGCTGTTGTTCACACTTGTGTCTGCAGCACACACAAGTGTGAACAACAAAAGTCAACAGGTGCTTTTAAAAGATATGTGGAAGGTTTTTTTTTATTAATTTTCCTGGAGCATCTTTGTAAACTCTTGGGTGAAAACAGAATTTTAATAAATGTCTGTTTTCCTCTAAGCAATGTGTTTTTATTTTGATTTAGAGCTTTCTTTACGTGACAGCCCTCAGAATAAATTGTTCATATTATCAAAATGTTTGAAATTTTCCTCTGGAATCTAGCCTAGAAATCTAGACAAGCTGTAGCAAAAGTTACGACACCGCTGGTCATTCTAGCCACGCCCCGTTGTAGCCTCAGCAGGTCTACATTTGACCCAAACAATTTTAGGTGGGAGGAAGCTCACTGTAGAGGTCACAAACTGAGTGCTCGTCACTCATCCAATCACCTCGGGGAAAGTCTGAGACAAGAGCCAATTGCTGCCGTTGCAGGACATCACCTGATTCGGGCGAGTGAGTGAACAGAAATCGTGGCCACCGCGTGCTGGCTCACACAGGGGAAGCCTGGGACACGCCGCTCCCGGCAGCCCAGGCGGATGTGCTGCACGCCGGCTTGGAATCGCTCACGGCTGGCGGAATGGGTGCGATGTGTGAGGTGGGGCACAGCTCCAGAACCCAAGTCAGACCACTCCCCCCTACATTTTGGGCTGCGTGGTGGCACATTTGTTAACTCTGTTGCCTCGCAGCAAGAAGGTTGCAGGTTCGAAACTCGACTGCAGCCTTTCTTTGTGGAGTTGCATGCATGCGTGGGTTTCCTCCGGGTACTCCGGTTTCCCCCACAGGTCAAAACATGCCCTATAGGTTTACAATTGTACGTCGCTTTGGATAAAGGTGTCTGCTAATTACATAAACATAAACATAGGTCGGGGCAATGACAGCGCTCTATGTTTGTAGAGAGCTGTTGGGTGGGCTTAACACCAGCAGAGCAATGGAGGGGACAGCAGCAGCTCAGGATGTAGAGCGGGTTGTCCAGTAATCAGATGGTTGCAGGCTTAATCTCGGCTCCCGCCAGAGAATGCTGCTGTTGTGTCCTTGGGCAAGACACTTAACCCGCCTTGCCTGCTGGTGGTGGTTGGAGGGATCGATGGCACCAGTGTTCAGCTGTCAGTGTGTCCCAGGGCCGCTCTGGCTACAATGGAGGTCTTCCAATGGAAGAGGGAGTTTGGAAACGTCACGTTATCGTGACAAAAATGTGTCTAAACTGTGAATTTCTGCAGCATTCATGTAGATTTTGTTCAAGTTTAGACACAAACTGTCTTCAGTATGTCCTAACTTTGTTGCAGTTAAAGCCTTTATCTCACTGGGCTGGGACTGTTGGTGACAAAGGGGACACACCTGCAGAGGCTACTCTGTTTCCTTGCATGAGTTGCAGAGCCTTGCTCTATAAATGTTCTCTATCACATGGTACTCATTTTAAACTTGTCCATTTGAATTGCATGCTTTTACAAAACGCAATATTTAATTAGCCAAAAGGATTCTCCGCACTCCCAAAGGCTTTGGACAGCCTGTAGGTCGTGGAGTCCAGCTTGACTTTCTACCTCAGCCTTGTCAGCCTGGTCATCACCCAGCAGCTTCTACACATCCTCTCTGTCCTCCAAATTGGTTTACTGGTGAAAACACAAGCGCTGGACTGATCCACGTTTGAAAGTGCCCATCTAAGTTTTTTTACATTAATCTCTCCACATACAGTGTAAAACAAAACAGTGGATGCTGCTGGGTGTGCATTCTCACCTTCCTCCTCTTGTTTTACTTCTTTTCAGAGCTACTCCAGTCAGGGCAGAGGCAGCAGCAGCAGTGGAGGAGGAGGAGGAGGAGGAGGAGGGGATGAAGACTATGAGATCCCCCCCATCACACCTCCAAACCACGTTGACCCTTCTCTGCTCCATCTCACAGAGCATGAGTCCGGTTACCCCTTCCACTCCCTGCCTCACAACGGTCTGCTCAACACCTACTCCTACCCCGAGCTGCCCGCCCTCATGATGTCCAATATGCTGGGTCAGGACACTCACCTTCTTTCTGGGCCTATGCACTCTGTGAGTATATCTCTCTGTATTTGTCTCTTCTTTAGCCGCGGGCCATTATGCAAGTCAAGCACTGTGGTGCAGTGGGCTATTAAACCTCGCGGTCAGGGTGTTGGAAATCCGCCAGAAGTTTTTTTGTTTTGTTTCCTGAAGGTTTCACATGTTCCTCACATGGAACGTTCCATCTGTTTCGCAATGGTGTGATTTTATTTCATGCATTTTTCAAAACACAAACCCTCCTGAACACACAGACGGTGTCAGGAGAGCTACTTTAATAACAAATGCTGCAAAGCAATTCAGAAACGAAAGCAGAAAAATTGTACAAATTTTCATTTGCTGTGATCGGCAAAGCGGCGAAGGAGCAGAATGGTGGGATACAGTAGCGGGGCTCTGGTTTTGAGGAGGGGGATATCCCTTGTCAGCTACTTTCTCCTTTTCAAAGAGATGCTGAGGATTGCCCCCCCATACACACACACACACACACACACACACACACTTCAGTGAAGCGACTCTCTCTTATGTTAAACACGCTTCAGACCGAACATGTAAACACCCCTGGCGAACACATTCAAATGCTTTAATCATAGAATCGAATCAAATGAATTATAGATGGCCTGCATGGTGAATTATTCAGAGAAATATACTTTCATCTGACATAAATATTACTTTTTTTCTCTTTTTGCCCTCTGTCATGAATATTAATGCTTTAATGTTAGCATCCATGGCATTTATCCTCCAATAATCAGGCCTTATGTGATTTTCTGAATCACACTGCATTCGTTACAGGCTTTTTATTTTGCTGTGGGTGAAGGCTAGGGCCTCCCTTATAACCAGTCTTCAGAAGTAGGTGCTGATGCTGGCTCCTATAGAGGTTTTATATTTTCTTTTTATTTAAAATAACGATTTAGCTGGTAATCTATGATGCATTTGGTGAAAATCAAAGTTTGCTTGAATAAAGTCGCAGAGTAGCCCCTTTTTTTGGTTGTTTTGTGTGTTTTGGGAGTGAACAAAGAGGGCGCGCCTGCCTCTTAAACAGCTTTTGTTTCACCTTTGCAATTATTTATTTTCAAATAGCCCTTCAGGGTAATGTTCCGTTTTCTTATTTCACACCCCCTTTTCTCATAAATGAACCGTCAGGGCCATAAATCATCGCACAAACAGAGACTTGCACACACTGTGAAAGGGCCAGAGATTTATGTAACACATTCATGTTTCCCACTTCCACATTTTAGTACTACTCTAGCAGAGGCTGGCTAATAATAGCCGCTATTAATATTTCTTGTTGCCTAGCAACCCCGGCAAGTAATAGCTTACTCTGGAAAAATAGATGACCGATAAGGAAGAAGGAGGGGTGGGGGGTGCTGGTGCTGGGGAGGGAGGGTTCAATTCATTTATTATCTCCTAGGATAAGAGGAGCTTATTTCTGAGGCTCTGGAATAGGAAAGTAGGCAGTATATTGAGAAATATTTTAAAGCAATTGGAGATGACGTTATTTTCATTTTGCTTCCATTAGGGATGTTTCATTTGATGTTTCCCCAGCAAAGTCAATTAACCTTAATTTCATACTGATAAAGGTATAATAAGGAAGATTGAATTTATGTCTGCAGCCTGCTTAAAGAATAATAAAGGGGGATGGAATTAGGGTCTCTTGAAAGCCAGGGTCAGAAATGAAGAGCAAAAGCCTTTTCCTCCGTTTTATTGTATTGACTAAAGCCGTGCAATAAACTCAGAAAATTGGAGGAGATAGCTGAAAAACCAAAACTCTAATCATTCAGGGCGGGCTTCTTTTCACCGCCGTAGAAAAAAAAAAGAAGAAGCATGAAATGAAAAGTCGACAGTGTTACCTTTAGGATACACTTCTCTTCAATAAGAACTGTCCTTCAGTGCACATTTAAAACCTCCTACAACTACAAGCTCAGCTGGAGCAACAGATACGCTTCATCTCAGGGGATGTTGTTGCTGGTTTTTGTACATTTAGCCCGAGGCTAAAGCTCTGTAAACTTCACTCTGCTTTGGGATTCTCTTTTTCAGCATGCATCGATCCCACCGCAAACACAGTTAAATCATTACAGGATCCAGAGCCACGGATGGACCATCATCGGGCTGCACGGCCAAATAATTTCACGTCTGTTCGTCCTTGTAGCTTTTGGTCCTTAATTCACCTAAACTTTCCTTCTCAAAAAAATGCCTCCTTTGTAATTTTATGGAGCAAATCCACAAATTTTTATGTAATTGTGGCTCAAAATCAGCTGGTAGATGAAAAACGTGCTAAGTTACTTTTATTGTGGTTTTCTTTGATGTGTTTTTATTTACGTGTGACGGTTGAGCCTCCCTGCTGCTGCAGCTGAATGTTTTTCTCCATCATTTGCACTGCCAGTTTGAGCATTTCATGAACCTAAAACTGCAGGAATGCAGCAAGGTGAAGCATCAACGCTGGCATTATAGATTATAGAGCTGTCCATCAGAAACGCTTCTACATGCTCGCACACCCCCACCCCCACGCCGCTGACCCGCTCCCGCAGCCGAGGATGACTGGATCCTGTGAAATGTAACAGGCTGTCGTGCCAGGCCCTGTTGCCGAGAGGGAGAATTCCCGTCTCACCCGGAGCTTTCAGGATTTCTGTCATGTCTGCGCCGGGGTAAGAGGTGTCACCCCGAGGTCTCGTGTTCGACAAGCCCCCCTAGATGTTCAGGTCTGGATGGTGGTTTCAGCTGGGAGGGGGTGGTTGTCAGCAAGATCCACCTCTTTGAAAAATAATTTTGAAATAAATAAAAGAGGAGGTACCCTTGGCAGCAGGCGATAATGAAGGGTCGTGGAGGCTTTAGGGGTGTGCCAGGGTGTTTAAATATTGAAACAGAGCACCTCCCCCCCACCTCCGCCCATCCCCGACCTCATTACCAGAATAACGAGGCTGGTTAGGGAGGAGGAAAGCCCCGGCTCATGAAAAAAAATAAAAAAACAGCTGTCGGTCGTTATTTGTCGTACATTCACTCCGACAGCTCCTGGTGGGAGTTTTGTTGTTAAAGATTTGGTTCTGGATGAATATTCGTGGCATGATGATGTCTGTCTAACACACAGTTTACAAGACATTCGTAACCCTCCGGAGCCAGGCGTTGCAGATTTGCAACAGTTGTAACCTACCTACCTGGTTACTCCACATAACGTGTTTCATGAGCATTATTTAACTCCCTGAAGGACTTAGTTGTTTGTTCTTTTATCAAAACTTATTTCGAGCCTGAGAGGGTTAAACATGCTGCAGTCTCTAAAGAGACAACTTCAGCTACTTCTGAGCAGGAGAGCGCTGCAGAGCTACGTACAGGTCCTGGTGCAACAGCGTTCATAATAAAGGGGCAGTGCGCAAAACGTGCATCATTGGTTTGGTTTGAGGTAGCTTTTAAGAACCAATGAGCAGTGAAACTGTTTGCGCACAAAAAAAAAGAAATGAAACTAATGTTCATTTAAGTTTTTTGTTGAGTCAATATTTTAAAAAAGCGTAGAATGCCTTCTCCAGGTCAGGGATGAGGTCCTGCCTCAAGTGTCAGTGTCTTGTGGTCTTGTTCACGAAGGAGGGAAAGATGGATCCGGAGATCGTCAGGCGGATTGGTGCTGCACCTGCAGTGATGCCAGTGTTGTACCGGTCTGTAGTGGAGAAGAGAGAGCTGAGCCGGAAGGCAAAGCTCTCGATTTAGAAGTTGATCCACATTCCAACCCTCCCGGGTCATCTGGGAGGGGCTCGGAGTAGATCCGTTACTCCTCCACATCTAAAGGAGCCAGTTGAGTCCTGATGAGGTTTTTACAGTCACGTCCAACTGGGAGGAAAACTAAAGGAAGACTCAGGACACAATGGAGGGACTATGTTTCTCAGCTGGCCTGGGAACACCTTGGGATTCCCCCAGAGTAGCTGGCCTGAGTTGTTGGGGAGAGGAAAGTCTGGGCCTCACTGCTTAGGCTGCTGCCACCACAACCTGACCCTGGATAAGCAGAGGGAAATGGATGGATGAATGGATTAAAAACCTTATTATAATTTGTTATTGTTTGACTCACTGAATATAGGAAATAAAGTATTTTAATGGTGTGACGTAAAACATCAAATCATCAAGCGGGCCATGATAAAGTTATAAAATAGAAAGATAATCTAGTCCAAGGTGTTAATTCTGTTAACATCTGCAAAAATAAAACCACTCAAATGTGTTTGCAGAGTTTTGTGTGGAATCATCTCCACTGCCTCAGGTGCACATCTTGTACGATCCATTTGAACCTTAAAAATTGCTTTTTTATTTGTTCCAGACTCAGTCTCCTACTAATGAGATAATCTAATAAACGCTGCCAAAACGTGTTGTTTTAGTTGGATGCTTGGTGCAGCTGCATTAATGGAGGAGTTCTCTTCTTTTTCTTTAAGTAAGTGAAACACTAGAATTTTTTATTTATTTATTTATTTCATTCCAGGGTTTAGACATATCTCATATGACCTGCTTGCTCCGCTGCCTTTCACTTACATCTCTGCGATGTTCCCGGATAAATCACTCTTTTTTTTTTTTTTTTTGCAACAGCAGAAACATTTTCTATTGCGACTTTTCATTTCCCAAAAAGACGGATGCCCTTCGGTGCTACGTACCACAACAGAGGTGAACAATGTGTCTAGTAGTTGTCAAAATAAATGACAGCTAGATAATTGGTAGGGCTCTTCTGCTTCATTTACACCGAAACAAATAGGCTTCCAAAGAGAATTGCTCTTTTAATAAGCAAAGCTTTGTTTTATGCTCTTTATTATGCACGCTTCAGTATGAAGCAATGAAGACAAACATTAATGGATTGAGCATTAAAAACAAAAATGCGCATTCGTTGCTGAGACATGCATATTCATGGCACTAATTCAAATAACCTTAGGCGATGGTTACGACTAATAAATATTTAAAACAGCATGGTTACAGAGATTTGAACACAGCATGATGTGTGAGTCTCTAAGATCATCATGTGTAAGGGTAAATAATTAGGATTGGCCAAAACAGAT